TCTCGGACTTCCAGCCTTCAGAACTGTGAGAAAATAAACATCCGTTGTTTAAGGCACCCTGTCTGTAGTATTTTGTTATGGCAGCCTAGCAAACCAATACAGAGACGATGTTTTTATTCATTTATTCAACAAATATTTATGGAGCATCTATTATGTGCCGGGCACTTATTTGTGAAATAGCGTATAGAGTGTGAGAAAACAGAAAAAGGAAAAGGGCTTCTGCTCTCGGGAAGCTTATAGTCCAGCGAGAGAGATTGACAATGAAAAGAGTCATGAGTCAGTGTGGCACGAGGGAGGAAGGAGAGGTCCATGTGCTCTGAGGGTGCACAATGCTGGGTAGGGGTGGGGTGACAAGAAAGGGATATTTAGTTGTATGTATTGTTTGATCCCCAGCACTACTCTATAAATGTGGGTTGGCTTTTATTGAAGGCTCTGATCTCTCAGTTCTCTATGTGGAATAACTTGATTTCTTAGCACTCAAGGAAAGAGGCCAGGGGCAGATGCTGCTAAGTGTTGGCTGTTTATAGGACTCCCAAAACGCTGGGTGAATAGAAAGAGCAATGGATGAGAAGGAAGGGGAAGTGGGTTCTCACCTCAGCCCCGCCACAAGCTGGTGGTGTGGTGACCCCGTACAACGCCCTTCCCTTGTCTGGACCTCCATTTCCTCATCTTCAGAAATGAAGATGTTGAACTAGTTCATCTCTAAGATCCCTTCCGGCTCTGTGAAACCTTTTCTGAAATTTAGTTTACAGAAGACTAATACTGAAAAGAGGAAGGAAGGACAGAGGGAAGCAGGGAGAGGGAAGAGAGGTGGAAAGAGCCTCCACCATTTTTTGCTATGGGACTCTGAGCAAGGAGTTGCCCCTCTCTGAATCTCAGTTTCCTTTTTCTTAAAGTGAGGGAGTTAGTTATCTTTAATATTCCTTTCAGTTTACCAAGATTTTATAAGTCTATGAGTATTTGGGAACTCTTGAATCTCCTGTCCCTGGGCATTAATTGATTTCAACAGGAAAACATCCCTGGGTTAAGACATGACTGGGACCGCCCTCCAGTTCTCCATTCCGTTGTGAACATTTACATCGGTTTATCTTTCAATCAGGAAGTTTTAGAAACACAACCCTTTACCAACCACAAATCTTTGACTTAATAACTAGATCATCAACTAAATAAATCCCCACTGAAAGAGGCCACAGAAAACATACAAAATTAAGGATTGGTCTGTTGATATTTCCTGGAAAGAAAGTAACATCTTTTACCCAGCTACTCACAGTGAGAAACAGTTACCACAAGTATCTTAAAAGCCAAGTTCTATTAGAATGGTTTGGACAGAGAGTAGATCAATCAGAAAAAAAATTAAGTTATCAGTGTCCAACAATAGGGAAATGCTTAAACCAATTTTGATACATTCATATGAAATTTTACGCAGCACAGAAAATAGTATTTTGAAAGATTATTTCATAACATGTGGAAATAAAATATAATTATAAGTGAAAAAAAGCAAAATACAAACCATAATTTAGCATACTCTTAGTTTTTATTAAATATATACTATATATCATATATATACATGGAAATAAAAAGACCTGAAAAAAAGAAATACTCCAAAATATTAACAGAAGTAATATCTGGAAGGAGGCAGTATGAGTGATTTTTATTTGCTTCTGTATACTATCCTGCATTTTCAAATTCCCTTCAGCATGTATTCATTTGTTTGTTTGTTAAGTCAGTCAGCAAATATTGCCTGTGTATCAACTGTGAGCCAATTGTGTTCTAGACATTAGAGATGGAGGCAAATCTCAGCCCTCTTGCAGCTTGCCCTCTGGTGAGTGGACACAGAAGAAGAAAGAATAAAAGAAGAAATATAGAACAAAAGAGGAAAAATGGATAAACAAGCAAGATGATGTGGATGTTGGCAGACGCTCTAAATTCACCCAGTCGGGGTGATGGGAAGGAGAGGTAGTGGGGCCGTGCATCTGCCTTACATGTATGTCAGGAGGGCAGCCCTGAGGAGGTGCCATCAGAGTTGAGACTGATGGATACAAAGAAGCCTGAAGATCTGGCAGAAGATCATTCCTGTCAAAGGGAAAAGAGGGAACGACAAGGGCACAGGGATCAGACCATGCCGGGTACCACAGGCCAGGGAAGAAGTTCGGCTTCTATTGTAGCTGCAGTGGGGGCCACAGAAAGCTTTCATGCAGGGAGTGAGCAGGTCACACATCCCAGAAAGATGACTCTGGCTGCAGACTGGAGAGAGGATCCTGGTGGTAGAGGCAGAGGAGAAGCAGAGAGACCTATTACGAGACACGTTTTCTTATATTTGCCCCTTCTGTGACAACGGTTTCCACTACTGTAAAATCAGGCAGTTTGGCAAGGTCAATGATTTCTAAGAGTGCTTCCAGTACTTAAAAAATAAAAACATTATTATTTTTGTATACCTGTTGACCTTTCCCAAAAGCGTGTAAGTTTCTTAAACACAGCTTCTTAAACACTTAAGGAGTGCGCCGTATGCTGGTGTATGTGGGGGTGCGTCATTAGTTCTCAGCCTGAGTTTCCACTGTGCTTCCTTGCGAACTCACCTGCCGAGGCCGTTATCTGAAGGTAATAGGCAGCCACTGAAGGCTTTTCAGCAAAGGCTGACTTCTGCATGTTAGAAGGTTCACTCAGGCAATAACGAAGGGGGTCTGGAGGGGGCCAGGAGTGGAAGCAGAGAGACAGAGGGACACACTGTTTTACTGGAGAATCCTCCTTGGCCATGAATTCAAGAGAGCCCACCTGTGAAAACAGAGACCTGCCAGTGAGAAAGGGACACCTCATCTGCACAAAACCACCTTCACAGCCACAAACACTGGGAGACAGAAAGTTCGAGACTCCACCTATTTATAGTTGGGGGAAATGAGGCACAAAGAGACAAAGTGACTCATGTGCAAAGGATTTCTGACTTCGGGGCCTCCTCTCGGCTAATGTGAAAACCAGACTCCACTTATCGTGTCACCCAGGGAGGGGAGAGATGTTGCCTGTGCTAGAATGGAAGGGAGCCTCAGGGGGGTGGGCGGGGCGGGGAAGGGGGGAGACAAGGATCCTGGGCAGAAACTGTGACAAATGCTCCAATACCTTCATTTTTGACACTCCCATAATCCAAGAAGGGCTAAAATTGGCTGTAAAGCTTGGGTTATGAAACCAGAGCAGATGAAACAAAAGAAATAAGCAAAACTTGAGTCAGCCAGATCATAATCCTTGTGGAGAGCATGCAAATCCAAGTGAAAATAGATCAGAGACACTTTCCCAAGAGACACGGAGCTTGCAGATCCTGGAACCAAGCCCCTCACCTGAAAGATGGGGAGGAAGAGGTCTAGGGGGGAGGGGAGCATTGCATCCTGGAGAAGGAGAATGAGCTTTGCCAGCAGAGTCAGGACTGAGACTCAAACCCAGCTCTCTCCATCCTGAGGTCAGAGCTCATCTTGCTCCTTCAAAACTAATTCTGTGAAGGATTTGCCAAAGCTACAGCCAGGCATGAGAGCAGGGGGCAAATAAAGTGATCCCCAAGCATCTTGTGTATACTGTGTGTTGCCATGTACACACACACACACACACACACACACATGGCTTTAGTTTGGTGAGGTCTTTCTTTCATTTAGTACCATGGACCAATAGCATAACTTAAATATCCGCATTCACTGCCCCAGTCCAAACGCACAGCTCATGCAACTTAGAAGCAATCTGAGTCCAACTCCTTTAATTTACAGACGAGGACTGGAGTCCAGAATGGATGAGGTTGCAGAGTCACCTAAACCAAGAACAAGGGCAACCTCCTTCTAGCACGGGCTCAGCACTGCAGGAAGGAAAACTGTGATCTTGAATACACTTGCATTACTTTCTGTTCTCAGGCATGGATTCTCGGAAGGAAAGTGTTAAAGATCTAGGCAATTTCCAGCTCATGACTGTGGCTGGGGCCTGAAACCTGGGCACACTGAGTAGTGAATTTCTAAAGAAAAGTCTTTCAACTTCTGTGGAAGTTTTTACCATGACGATAACAAACACAGCCATCCTTTGAATAAACACTTACTGAATGTCCACTATGTACCATGGGGCACTCTGCTGGGTCTTTTACATACTTTAAATCTCTTTTAATTTTTCTAATCCTGTGATGCAGGTATCATTGTTCCTGTTTTTTTCACAGAGGGAAGTACAGCCCGGAGAGGCTAAGTAATTTTCTCCAGGTCAGACTCAGGAAGGGGCAGAGTTGGAATTTGATCCTCTGTTGGCTTCTATTATGCTGAGCACCTCAGATTCGGGGTGGTCTGTTCTGCACCGTGGACACCGCATAGGGCATCCTACAGCCCTAGAGGAGGGTGGGGCCGGATTGCTCTGGACCCCCTCCTCTTCTGGGCTGCTAAGCTCAGCTGTGAGCTCTATGTTACATCTTTATAAGCCCCTCCCAGAGGCTTGATGGGGTTCCTGACAGCCAAGAATCAAGGTAGCTGGGCTAGGCTATGAAGAGGCCTAGATCAGAGCAAAGATCATTAACTTGTGAGGACTAATCTCCTTAAGGGGTTTGGCCCAGAGATGTGAAGGAAACATAGCAAAAGTGAATGTAAGAACAGGAGTGAATCTCAGATTGCAGAAAGGATAAGGAACATCGGATGCAGTTTTAAAGAAAGTTTGCTAGGGGAGGCCCCCTCTGTGTTTTATAGGAATACACCTTTCCTAGCAGACCCCGAGAATTTCCTCCACAGAACAAGAATTTCCTCTAGAGTCCCTGACAGCATTTTGTTTCCGCTTTAATGTCCCCAGGAACAAGGAGCTCATTACCTTTCAGACTATTGTAATTGTTAGAAAGTTCTAGTCTTCATACTGGGCCAAACATCTGTCTCCTAGATGTGTCCATGCATTGGGCCCAGATCTGCCCTTTGGTTTACAAAGACTAAATCTGCTTCCTCCCTACCCAGCAGGCTGGATGTTTGAAGACGACTTTCATTTTTTTATACCGGCGTTCCCCAAAGTGTGCTGAGCAGAGAAGTAAGTGCACCACGTTAATAGATGTACTCTATAAAACAAACACATCAAACAAACAGACAGAAGTCCATAAGTAGAATTCTGTGGACATGCGTGGTTAAACCAGGTCAACCAGGTGGGTTTCCTGTAAGACTGCTCCGAACGTTCACCACGCTGCTGCACAGCGGGAACTCCAAAATGGAAATGTGGGCATGCAACGTTTCCCGCACATTTGACCTCAAAACCTTTTTTTTCTCTCAGTGTTCGTTTAAGTGTTTTCCGTATATACTATTAGCAACACTCTTTGGAAAGTGATTTCCTACACAAATCTAGGTTCTTACTATCATTGCCTCCAAGCTAAAAAGCCTGGCTCCTTCAGCTACTCATTTTGAGACAAAGTGTTTAGTTTTCTCATTATCTTCCCTCACTCTTGTTCTCTAGTAGGGCTATCAGATTAAAATATAGGATGCCCGGTTAAATTTGAATTTCGAATAAACATGAAAAATTTTTTTTTGGTGTATGTTCCGTGCTATATTTGGGACAAGCTTATATGAAAAAAGAATTCATTGCTTATCTGAAATTCAGATTTAACTGGATGTTCTGTATTTTTATTTGCTAAATCTGGTAAGCCTCTTTCCCTTGAAAAACGTGGCCCTCAGAACTGGGCACAGTATTCCAGAGGTGGACCAAGACTGAAGCTATTGATATAACCTTGGCAGTCACCAGTAACTCTGCTTTTCCCTGTGACGTTTTTAAAGGGAAGATGGTAATATTTTTATGGATGGTTGGAGGCCAGTCTGAGGTTGACAGATACCAGACACCTTTCTGAATCTACTGGCAAAGTCCAGAAGCCAATTTCCCATTTCTCACCACTGTTCATAAGTATATTTACATTTCTTTGGTGTTAGTATTAGGTAACTTGATCCAAATACCATTTATAATTTCGTTCTCAGTGTCTGTCTTCTCCATTAGACCATAAGAAACTCAAAAATGGGGATGAACCATGTCTATCTTGGTCACGGTTGTATCCTTGGTAGTTAACACAAGTTCTTGCATATGTAAGTGTGCAAACATCTTTTGAATGAATGAATGAATTAGTCACACATTGCTTGGTAAGCTAAGTAAAGCAGATAAGCTGACACCCCGAGGAGAAGAGATTGCCAACAGGAGCTTTCCTCGTGGTTGGGATTTGTCATCCTCCCCAAGCTTTCCCAGACCCATTAAATCCTGTTCACCCGTGCTGAAGGCAATTCTGTTGGGAGATGTGTGTGCAAAATAAGAACATCTAATTGCTATGACTAAAATAAAACATTTCAACCAACATAAGCCGTTTTCAAGAAGTTGAAATACTTCCTAGAGCTGGCAATTTTCACTGAGGTGTGGAACTTGGCCCTTAAAAGCAGGCTGGGCTGTGCCCAATGGGTGTGGGGTTGGGCAAATCACACTGGGTCTTCCCACTGAAACATCCTGATCCAAGAAGAATTAGGCAAAGTGAACAAGGTCAGCCTCAGTAGAGCCCTGAGTTGCCAGCAGGGCAGGTATGGGAGAGAGGACATATGATCCTGTAACTGTGACTTGGTGAAAGTGCATCAGGTGACTGGCCCGAGGAACCCGAAAGGCTTGGAGCTTCCGCTCTAAGCCATAGTTGATAGAGCTGGGCGCTGCCCACTCGCAGCACGAGCTCACCCAAGCTTGGGGCTTGTAAATATTGACAGCAGCCTGGGGACTGTCTCTGGAGCAGGGAATTGCTTATCTGCAGGTTGGCAGCTGTGGCTTCTGTGCTGGGGAGTGTTAACCCTGAATTTATAAGAGAAAATGCAGCAGAAAGCAGAGAAGTACAGTGAGAAGAGCCATGGGTCTTGGGAGGGTAGTAGAATGTAGCAAAACTTGTGTTGTTTCCTGAGTATGAGGATGAAGACCTATGTTCAAGTCCCACCTCTGCCATGTGTTAGGCCCATACCCTTAGGCAAGCCTTTTAACCTCAGTCTTTTTATCCGTGAAATGGGAACAACCATGCTGCCCTTAGAGTTATGAGGATTAAATAAGATGGCAGATATGAAAGTTCTTCTTAACCGGCCAACTGCTGGATCAATATGAGGGATTGTTACTACACAGTGTCCCCTGGGGCACAGTGCTCTGGCCTTCAGCTCTTGATGTATCTCATAGCTTGTTCCAGGACAGCATAGAAGAGCCCCCACCTGGCAGAAAAGAAAGATGTTCCTTACATAACCTGAAGCCAAATAAAAAGAGGTTCAACTTACACTGTATAGGGGCCGGCCCCGTGGCTCAGCGGTTAAGTGCGCGCGCTCCGCTACTGGCGGCCCGGGTTCGGATCCCGGGCGCGCACCGACGCACCACTTCTCCGGCCATGCTGGGGTCGCATCCCACTTACAGCAACTAGAAGGATGTGCAACTATGACATATAGCTATCTACTGGGGCTTTGGGAAAAAAAAAAAAAAGGATGAGGACTGGCAATAGATGTTAGCTCAGGGCCGGTCTTCCTCAGCAAAAGGAAGAGGATTACCATGGATGTTAGCTCAGGGCTGATCTTCCTCACAAAAAAAAAAATAAATAAATAAAAACAAATTACACTGTATAGTTCCTTTTAATTATGGAAGAAAACAACTTCCACACACACACGTGAAAACACAAAATCTCAGTGGGTAGGAGTCTTTAGATCAAAAAATCACTTGGGAACATCTTTATGACCCTGGGATGTGAGCTCTAGGTGAGCCTTTAATTCTATGTGAATATTTCTATTGATCTCCCTGGGGTCTGTTGCTGGATCTGGTCAAGGCTCTTGCTGGCTTTGCTGGTCAACAGGAGCAAAATGTACACAAGTGTAGTTCTAGTCCCTTGGAGGGAAAATAATGCAGGATGTTGTGGCTGATGAATTACTTGCTACTTCCTCTGCTGTGAGATGTTACACCCACTGGAGGAAAATTCGTTGATGTGTAAATACGTGTGTACACATGTTTACTGTGCCAAGGCAGTAAGGAACACAGTCAGACATCTTGCCTTGAAAAGCCTTTTCTGCTGGGCTTTGTCTGTTTCTTCCTCCACTGCCACATGTCACACAGTGGTTACTTATGGAATGCACTACTTCGAGTCCCACCACAGTCCCCACCAGGACCTGAAGACCTCAGATTTCCCATCGTTACGTTTACTTCTCTTTATGGCCAACTCCATGCAAAGAGTACTCCAGGCCTGGAGCTGGGCAGAGGCTCTGCTTACAGCCCTGGGAGAGCACGAGGCAATCTTTACGCAACTCGACCTGCCCATCCTCCCCTCCTTGCCCTGGCCAAGAACAGTCAATGATCGTATTCTGGAAGGAACCCCACCTTGTCACTGTGTGCTCTGAGCCAAGAGGAGGGGGAGCAGAGCTGGAGGTGCAGGCATGAGGCCAAACTGCAAAGCCCAGAGCTCCAGAGTCAGAGGGTTTGGGTCGGGTCTGGTACCCCACTTCCCTAGTGCCCCCTCAAGGACTGGCTTAGGCCGGATGATACCCAGTGAGGGGGCTGTTTCCATGTCTCCCAATGCCCACCATGCAAATAAACACATAGCAGTGTGTTCAGAGAGGCAGCGTTTGCAAGTGAATACTTACATGCAGTAATATGCATTTCTAAGAAAACACACACAAGGGTACATTTGAACCCATACGTGTGCACTTATCTAGGTGATAATGCTTTTGTATGAGTAGACGTATCTTCAGAGATTGTCTCTCAAAATACAAATCTGATCTCTGCTGTAAACATATCAAATGGCTTCTAAATGCTCCAAGGATAAAGACCCAAACCCTTAATGCAACTTAAAAGGCCCTACATGTGTGGCCCCTGCCTGCCTCTTGTGCGCTCATTCTACATCCTGCTCTCCCTCTCTGCACACCAGCTACACTGACCTTTGCTTAGTGCTTATTACACATGAGGTTTCCTTTTACCACAGGACATTTGCACATGCTTTTCTCCCTGAGTGGCACGCTCTTCTCTCCTCTCTTTTTCAAGGCATTTTCTACCGATTCTTCAGCTCTCAGCTGGAACCTTACTTCTTTGGGGGAACCTTTACTGACATCTCAGAATTGGTCAGATTCCTTCAAAACACCCTAAATCTCCTTCATAGCACCTACCACAGTTGCAATTTTGCATGCATTTTTAAAAACTTCTCTCTGCTATTACACACAAACTCAGTAACGGCAAAGATAGACTGTTTTTGTTCACCTGCTGATCTTCAGCACCTAACAGTTCCTGGCACATAATAAGAACTCAATAAACATGTATCGAATCAAGAGTGTATATACTTACCTGGGATGAGGGGTCAGCATGTGAACCTGTGTGTATTTAGTTGTCAGTGGGACCACGGTTACATGACATGGCATGTTTGCTCATTTGGAGCTCACCAAAGTGTGCTTAGGAATGCCTAAATGCGTTATCTATCTAAGGGAGAATGTTTAGGTCTGAGTATGTCTGTGTCCTGTATGTATGCACATATTCATATGGGAGTATATACAAAAGAACCTGGATGTGTCCATATACCTATGTCAAAACTCATGTGTGTTTTATTTTGTTGATACAGGTGTAGGCATCAATGTAAAAGTCTGTGTGTGTGTATGTGTGTGGTGTGTGTTTATTTGGGTGTGTGCATCTGCAGAGGTGTAAGTATATGTATGAGTCACACTCTTCTCTGCAGCTGGGTGGGCCCCCTTCAGATTTCTAAATAGGAGGGTTTTTGTACATTAGGCAAATTGAATCATACAGACCTTAGTATGATTTGACTTCACCAAGGCAGGATGTCAGAGAGGAAGGAGCACTGGACTAGGAGTCTAACACTGCAGCAAAATCCCTTTTCCTTCTTGTGCTGCTACCCCTCCGTCCACGTGCAGAGGGTCTGGCACTAGGGGACAATGATGTTATTGGGGCATATAACTGTGTGGCTGTCATGTTGTCATAAAATGCATTTTAAATTAAGAGCCTAATTGCTTAAGACACTTATTAATCTCTTCCTTTTTCCTAGTAACGTTTTATCATTTATAAATTGTTTTCATCTACACTGTTTTATTTGATAACACAGGGAAATTAAGATTCTGCTTATTTGACAGAATGATTATTTTTGTGATGCATACAGCTGTCTGGGGTCATTTCTCATATGCCCACATCTTGTGCTCTTGAGCGGAAAGGGAGGGGAGGGGAAGACAGTGAAAGCTCTAGGTCCCTGGATTGTGATCCTCGGAGCACTTGCCTCACAGTCCTCTAGGGGAACCTGTGGCAACATGCAGATTGCTGGCTCCCAACCACAGCCCTGTTAGATCATAATCTCAGGGACAGGGGTCAGGAAGGTGCCTTCTCTCAGAAGTTCCCCCAAACCGTTTTTGGGCTCTCTAAGGTTTGGGACCCACTGTCATAAAATAAAATAATGTCAAGAGACTCATACCTAAACCACCAACCCTTCCATAATCCTGTAGAAAGA